TGGGTGGCTCGATCCGTGCCAGGTGCAGGGTCTGCTAGCTGGGTGCTGGCAGGCTTGCACCTGGCACGGGCACCGTAGCCAGCCCGTGCCCCTTTAAGGGGTCCGGGGCCGGGAGGGGGGCAGACGAGTTTCCCTGGTGTTGGCCAGAGTGGCCACCAGAGAAACCTGGGGAGGGCTAGCCTCCCACTAGTTCGAATTAAGGGGCTACACACCCCTTAATTCGAACTAGCTAGTTTGAACTAGGCTTAATCCTCGTAAAATGAGGTTTTCGTAGTTCGAACTGAGCGCTCCGCTAGTTCGAATTAAGTTCGAACTAGCGGAGCGCTAGTGTAGTGCCTATGAAAGTTAGTTCGAACTAACATCCGTTAGTTCGAACTAACTCTGTAGTGTAGACATACCCATAGAGAGTACATTTATAAAGTTTGTGTGTGATACCAAGCTGTCGGGTTGCAAGTGCTTTGGAGAATAGGATTATAATTCAAAATTATCTGGACAAATTGGAGAAATGGTGTAAGATAAATAATATGACATTTGAAAAGGACAAATGTAAAGTACTTTGCTTAGGAAGGAACAATCAGTTGTACATATACAAACTGGGGAGTAACTTTCTAGGAAGGAGTACTGCAGAAAGAGATCTGGAGGTTATAATGGACCACAAGCTAAATATGATTCAACAGCATAGCATTGTTGTGACAAAATCTGAACATCATTCTGCATTATATTAGCAAGAGCGTTGTACATAAGACACAATAAGTAATTCTGCTCCTCTCCATGCTCATTAGGCTCCAGCTGGAGTACGGTATCCAGTTCTGGGCACCACATTTCAGGAAAGATGTGGACAAATTGGAAAAAGTCCAGAGAAGAGCAACAAAAATGATTAAAGGTCTAGAAAACATGATCTATAAGGGAAGATTGGAAAAAATGGGTTTGTTTAGTCTGGAAAAGTGAAGATTGAGAGGGGATGTGGTAACAGCTTTCAAGTACCTAAAAGACTGTAACAAGGAGGAGGGAAAAAATTGTTGTCCTTGATCTCTGGGGCTAGGACCAAGAAGCAACAGGCTTAACTTGCAGCAAGTGGAGGCTTAGGCTGGACGTTAGGAAAAACTTCCTAACTAGGGTGCTTAAGCACTGGAATATGTTGACTAGGGAGGTTATGGAATCTCTGTCACTAGAGATTTTTAAGAACAGGTTAGACAAACACCTGCCAGGGATGATCTAGATCAGTGTTTCTCAAACTATTTTTTTAAAGTACCCCTTTTTATTAAAAAAAAAAAAAAAAAAAAAAATTACCCCCTTTAAAAAAATTATAAATACCCCCAGTAACTATAGTTTTCAGACATATTTTTGTTTCTACCATTGCAACACATTTGTTTAAACAACTTAATCGTAGCTGGTGGGCTACGATTAAATTTTTGGTTGTAAAAAGTACAAAAATAATAAAGCGCTGTAAAACTTAAAACTTACCACTGGTCGAGAAACACTGATCTAGATGTTGCTTGGTCCTGCCATGAGTGGAGAGGGCAGGACTAGATGACCACTTGAGATCCCTTCCAGTCCTATGATTCTGTGTATTTTTGGTTTAGTATAAGACTAAGTATTTTTATAAGCCCCCTTGAAGGGGCTTGAGAAGGGATAGTTCTGTAACAGAAAGGTAACACCTCATTTGAGACTACTTCCAAAGCTCATTGAAAACAGTGGAATAACTCCCATTGCTTTTAATAGCCTTTGCATTAGAATGCTGAGTAATTCCCAGATATCTGTTCTAGAAACTTCGTCACAGGCCTTAGAGGACATGGATTCAGATATTTTGTCTCCCATGAGTAACCCTACTTAATAGGTGACCATTTGTACATCCTGTTTTATTAAAACAAATAGAACATTTTATTTCAGGTGTTGTTGGTGTCATATTCAGAGATGGACGAAAAGTGGGATGCTACTTATAAATCATATTCCTGGTATTTAGAGGTTATTTTTATCTCGGTTTTGTAGCTTTTCGGTATGTAGTTCACTTTTTCTATCTGTTTTGTTTTAGATTGAATTTGTACTTCAAGTTTTTTATTGTAAGAGATCCTTTTGAAAGACTTATTTCTGCATTTAAGGACAAGTTTGTCCACAACCCTCGATTTGAACCTTGGTACAGGCATGAAATTGCTCCTGGCATAATTCGGAAATATAGGAAGAATCGCACAGAGACCAGGGGGCTACAGTTTGAGGACTTTGTGCGCTATTTGGGGGATCCAAACCACCGATGGCTTGATGTTCAGTTTGGTGATCACATTATTCATTGGGTAACATATGTGGAACTTTGTGCCCCGTGTGAAATAAGGTATAGTGTGATTGGACACCATGAAACCCTGGAAGATGATGCTCCATATATTTTGAAAGAAGCTGGAATAGACCATCTGGTATCATATCCCACAATTCCACCAGGAATAACGGTATACAACAAAACAAAAGTAGAGCATTATTTCTCAGGAATTAGCAAGAGAGATATAAGACGCTTGTATGCCCGCTTTGAAGGAGACTTTAAACTCTTTGGATATCGGGAACCAGATTTCTTGCTAAACTGATGCCTAGAAACTGAAGGCATGTCTATCATATTAACTGAAGTATATGAATACCAGCTGCAGCACTGACAAACTGATATTAACAGTACTGTACCATTGTTTTCTAGCTTTTTGATGTTGCTCCATTTTTCAGTGTAATATTTGTCACATGTACAATTAGGGGTTCTTAACTGTTAGCCACTGACCATGTTTTCAACATATGACATTGCAGTCTTCTATTGTGAATGAAACTATCATCCAACATATACAATGTCATTTATCCCTTCTTTCCAAGAGAAAAAAAAAACAAAAAACAATAGGCTATACAAGAACATAAAATAGAATGCAATGTAAAATGTTGTAAAGCATTTGTAAAGATGCCAGTTTTGCTGTAGTATAGCTTTGTGAAATGTAAGGGGACCTGATGCTTACAGAAAGAAATGTGGAGTCTTTCATTGGCTATGAAAACTAGAGACTGATATAGGACCAAAAACTGATGATGCACTAGACAAGCAAAAGATGTCCAGATTCTACTGTGGCTGCTATGAATTGTTGTGCTGAGCTAATGCTGTTTCTTGCAACACATAAAATGAGTCTTAACTTGACAGAAGCTTCAGTCCTATCCTGAAAGGGCAGATTTCAGAGGCCATTTGTTTTTATTTATTTTGTGTCATGGTGTCATCTGTACTTATTACTCGTCTATCAAGCAACATAATTGTTCATTTTAGAATTATCATCTTCCAGATTTGTATAGTGTCTGAAAACTTAAGGTGGAGCATTGACCCCAATGAGAAATTTAGAAGGACTCTTGGGGAAACCTTGAGGAAAACTAATTAAAAAGTAAAGATTGACTGTATTTGCAAGAACAAACATAGAAACCCAGGCCCACTTTTTAAATACTGTGCATTTTAACATGGTTTATTTTCTAATGTTGCAGGCTGTTACAAATATCAAATAAGCCATGAAAACAAGAAAGCATATGAACATACAGATTGCCATAATTAACTGGACTAATTGTCCATCCACTCCAGTATCCTGCTTTCAGCAGTGATCAGTACCTGATGCTTCAGAGAAAAACAAATCACTTCACAAAATGTACCTCCCCAATTCTGAATGAGAAGATTCATTCTTGACTCTTTCAGGTGGTCTGCTGGCATAATGCCCTAAATCAAAGGTGCCCAAACATCATGCCACCAGCTTGGGCAACATGCCAGGAGTTCGGGAATTAAACTGGTTTCTACATTTGCCTGTGTGCACACTGTTCGTGTTTAAGAGAAGTATTTTTGTTTTGAGTTCACCAGCAATAAAATCTTGTGTAGTCAGCTTTGCCTCCCCATCCTGCAGTAAGTGTCAAGGGGGAAAATCAGATAGGACACTGTGAATCCTAAAATGCAGCTATTTGGCTGCTGAGCTTCATGGCAAAAGGATGAATTTTGAAGCTAATAGAGTCTGAACTTGCGTGGCCAGAATAATGAATGATGGCCATAAAGTTATGGAGTCTCTCTCTTTAAATCCAGGCACAGTATTTGTCTGAATTGCTTTCTGTGGCAGGGCAAAGGAAGTATGTCACATCTGTGAACCTAAAGAAAGGAAAATTGGTGCCAAATTAGACACAGGCTGCTGTCTGCAAAAAGGAAGGCCTGCAGTGTCTGGATGTAATTCCAGAAGCATATCGGCAGACTGTTTGGTATAAAGGAGAATTGTTTACTGAGAATTGCTCACAAAAGAACAGTTTGAGGTGGCAAAGCTTGAAGTGCTCTTGTTTTTCTTGAAAAAGCAGCAGTTACAATGTTTTAGATTTGTTACTTCTTAACTGGTAATTAAAGGATGTAACAGCTCTGTTATTTTTATATGAAGTCATAGCAAAGTATATTGTTAAATGCATTTCAGAGCTAATGAGCTGATTGATTACCTCTCTTCTGAATTAAAATGTAACAGTGTGAATAATGTATAATGAATTAAGGCCTTAAAATTTAATCCTAATAAAGGTGAAGTAGAATTATTCTTTCTCAAGCAAAAGATACTGATCACATAACTGTGCCTGAATTTATTCTTCTTAGCATAGTGTTTGGTACTTGTGTTCTAATGCAGTGACCTACTAAGTTCTTTTAAATTACTATTCTGTGACTTTTTTGAATGGTTCCATACTACCAGCTCTCTGCTCATGCACTTTACACTCTGGGCTTGAAATGCTCATGATCTTTTTCTCAATTTGTAAGTAAAATATACTAAAACAATATCCCTCTGAGCTATTTTTTTCCATGTGGAAATCTTAATTCTTTTGTGGTGAATAGTATTTCAGGGATAATTGTAGATGAATATTATAGAAACTACTTAACACTCAGGTCATGTCTCTGCTAGAAAGTTAGGTCAGCGCAAAGTATGTTGGCATAAAGCCTCCTCAGAGAGTAATAAAGTATCTTTATGAAAGTTTTGTTGAGCTCTCTCAGGAAAGTCATTGGGATGAGAAGACCAGGCTTAAGAAGGACTAGGTTAAAATGGTGAAATCCATTCAGAAGGAAGAGAGGAAAGGCAGACAAGTTGGGGGGTGGGAGGGTGGAGCACGGAAGCCTGCAACATGGGGAGAAGTGGCCTACATTGGGTGCACACAGAACACATGAAATAAGGTGGAGGTTTTTCACCCCAGCTCCTTTGAGGTTTGTCATGAGAACATAAGAATTAAATCCCGTTTAACTAGGTTAACCTAACATTTAACTGGTTAACTAGCTAATCAGGATATAGGGCAGGGGACTGCTCCAGACTGGCTGGGAGCCGCCTCCATTTGTGGCAGGCTGCTCCTGAGCACCAGTTCATTGTTACCTGTTCACATCCCTAATGGCCAGACTGGGTCAGACAAGTGGTCCATCTAGCCCAGTATCTGTCTTCCAACAGTATCTGTCTTCCAACTAGATGCTTCAGAGAGGGTAAACAGAACATTCTGGCAAACAGAGAGGCTAGGGACACTTCGATCATGGTTTTGCATTTCTGCCCATCTTGACAGATAGCCATTGATGGATCTATTCTCCAAGATCTTATCTAGCTCTTCTTTAAAATTCTGCTATAGTCTTGTCCTTCACAGCCGTGGTTCCCAACCTTTTTTATACTGTGGACCAGCAAACTCATTCAAAAACTTTTGGCAGACCAGCACAAAAACATTTGCATATTTATTATGGAAATGAATGTATTTGCATATTCATTCTGGTAATTAATTTTAAGCAATCACATGTTGTTATACATTGCATCTGTACGCACACAATACATATCATTGTAACAGATTTTTTTATTATTATCCCTCCCCTCAGTATTTGCTTTCCACCTTAACAAATCATACATAACACATCGCTAGCTACCCAAAGTTTTTTTTTTAAAGCAGCCCAGCAAAACATAAGGCTGCCGCTGCAGAGGGCGAAGGAGGCAGGGAATGGAGGGCTGCTCTGGCTTTTTTTTTTTAAAGCGGCCCAACAAAACATGAGACTGCCAAAGGGGTGCTCTGGCCCCCTCCCATCCCAGCCACATTCTTCCTCCCTCTTT